TTAAGTAAAAGTACAAGTGCTTTATCAAAGATTGACTTGAGTAGAAGTTGAAGTGCTCTTTAAGCACCATCCTGAAGTGGAAGTACTAAAGTATTCAACATTTTTGTACTTCATTATTGCAAGTAGTTTATTTCAAAATTTACTACTCAAGTACTGAAAGTAAAAGTACAAGTATTGTGTATTGTAGTTATTAAAGAAAGCAGTCAAAAGACATATTGTTTTGTTTATTTTAAGTATTTTTTGGGGGGCACGTGATTAAGCAGAATGAATAGAAACATGGTTTACGATTTATATGAACTAGTATACTGTTTTTCTCTGATGCTTTAACCACAGATCTGACAGATTATACCAGCTTTAACACACACTTTTCAAAGTTGTGTGTCACAAAAACACTCCGTAATCCACTTAAAGCGCTATTGAGACCCATTTTCGGATCACAAATTACCGGTTGTAAATGCCTATGATTACCCTGCAGGATACATGTTGCTCCTGGGGCTGCGAGACAATAAATAAGAAGAGCGGAGCTGCGGCAAAATAATGGATAAAAAGAGTGAGGATATGAGCAAATAAATGAATACATTTTTAAAAAGTGCGACTGCTGCTTTCTCCGTTGGCCATGCTGGAGAGGAACAGTCTGCACAAAAGAAGCGCAGAGTTGGTTTTATTGACTACAGCTCTCGTCTGATTGGCTGAAAGGTACGAGTAGTCCTGACTCTGGCAGGAAAGTCTCAGAAATACACACACACACGTTTCCAGCGGGAGTCGTACGTGAAAGAGGATTTGCACATTCTCATTCAGGATGAACTCGCAAGTTTTAAACATTCAAAACTTTTTGTACACTCCTATACATTTGCAAATGGTGTTTTGCATTTGTGAAACGTATTTTATGAAAATGTATTTTTATTTTGTGCACGTGAAATTTTTTTGTGAATATAAATAAATATTTTACGCACGTGAATTTGGTTTTATGCAGGTGAATTTGGCTATGCATGTGTACATCATGTCTTTTGCGTGTATTTCTTTTGAACTAATCTGGTTCCATAGACGCCGGCCACTATGGCGCCCTTAATGCTGCAGCCAAGAAAAAGGTCTATAAATGTAAGGTGTAGGGGTAACGAGCAACGATGCAGCACAAAAAAATCTAAAAGTATTTAAGTAATAAAGTACTCAAGTATTAAACTCATCGAAAAAATGTACTGAAGTAAAAGTGGAAGTAGAATAATCAACAATACTACAGTAGACCACAGATACAGCCTTTAAGTACTTAAGTGCAGCATTGAAGTAGTTCTGCTTCGTTACTATACATCTCTGTTTATTAATATTATAGACACACACACACACACAATCATGCAATCACGCTTAACACCTGTAATTGCTCAAGTAAAGTTTACATTTATTTGTGTCTGTGTTTTCTAGGAAGGAGGACCAAGTCAAAAAGGTAGGAAATTTGGGGAAATAATTGAATATTATTAATACAAAAACATCCCTTTTGAACAGGTAGACATTGAAGAATTAATTGACCCTCACTTGTCCATCATCTGTCAGGTGTGTGCGCTTCTGCTCTGGGATTGGAGGATGGGCGTGTCCATTACGGTCAGCTGACCTCGTCCTCTTACAGAGAGAATAACCCTGCTGATGCGGGGCGACTCAACGTAGTGCCCAATGTGTGAGCATTCAATGCATTACATGAAGAAGGAACTTGACCTTCATCCCATCATTCATTCATTCATTTTCCTTCGGCTTAGTCCCTTTATTCATCAGGGGTTGCCACAGCGGAATGAACCACCAACTATTCCAGCATATGTTTTATACAGCGGATGCCTTTCCAGCTACAACCCAGAACTGAGAAACATCCATAGAGATTGATTCACACACACACATTCATACACTAAGGCCAATTTAGGTGATCAATTCCCCTATAGCGCATGTGTTTGGACTGTGGGGGAGCACCCGAAGGAAACCCACACCAACACAGGGAGAACATGCAAACTCCACACAGACACAGACATGTCCCAAGCCGGGACTCAAACCAGTGATCTTCTTGCTGTGAGGTCACAGTGCTAACCACTGAGCCACCATGTCGCCCTCATCCCATCATGCAAACTGAATATTTAAATGTTAGTTAGCAGAACCCTGATGATGATGCCAGATTGTTTATTTTGTCCTGTGTTCTCCCTCAGGATGGTGATGGAGCCAGGATGGAGTCCATTACCTGCAGATCCTCATCCATATTTCCAGGTGGACTTCCTGGAGCCCACATGGGTTTCCGGTGTGGTGACGCAGGGCAGTGAACGCATGTGGGGTTACTTGACCAAATACAGACTGGCCTTCGCTCTGGTGGAAAATCAGTTCATCAACTTTACTGAGAGCGGAGACACAGACGCTCCTCCAAAGGTGAGATCTGAGCTGGGTTCGTTAAATACACAATTAGGAACACAGTGAGGGTGTAAATGGAGTAAATGGCTGTGTTGGTTTCAGATGTTTGAGGTGAGGATGGTCAGTCGGACTCCTGTCACCCGCTGGCTGCCCCGGCTGGTCAGAGCTCGATTTCTCCGCATCATTCCTGTAGAGTTTCGACACACTTTCTACCTGCGCGTCGAAGTCCTGGGATGTAGAGGAGGTAGATGTGTTGTCTGGGTTTATTTATTATTATGTTTAGAACTTTAAGAAACACAATCAGATTTTCACTATATTTTATTTTTATGTACTCATTACTGTAATACCATTTTATTTGAATAACTATTTTGTTTTTTATTTGAATTTGACATCTTAGTTTTTGGATTTTGTGTTTTTTGTAATTTTTTATTATTATTTTTAATTTGTCTATATAGATTTTATAATAATTTTATATTTTTTATTGTTCATGTTAAAATAAGCCAAAAGTATAACTATTTATTTAGAAATTAGCTATAATTAAAATGTTATTATGTTCATAATAAAATATCTTAAATAATATATAATAAAATATTATTGTTCATAATAAAATATGTAAGATAATATTTAACAAAAATGTTCTTATTTTATGTAAAATAATTTTTATTTTTACATTTATTTTAGTTAATGTTAATCCTATTTAAAGTATTGAACATGTTTTAACTTCAGGCAAAAATTTATTTTAGTGATTTTCAATGTAATTATTATTATAAAAAAAACATTTTTAAATACTTTTGCATTAAAAATAATAAAAGTAAAAAAAAATGTGACCTGAAGATGTAATGCATGTAGTAATTTTTACTGCATTTTAAATGGGAAAAAAATGATTTCTTTAATGACACTTTAGTTTGTTTAATATTTGTATAATCATAATTTTAATCACAATATAATACACTAAATTATATATAATATTTTTATAATTAAATACTCTCATTACTACTACTACTAATATATATATATATATATATATATATATATATATATATATATATATATATATATATATATATATATATATATATGCATGAATATATATCTCTCAGTCCCGATGAGTTGGTCACACCCAGTAGTTTAGTGACCACAGTGCCACCTGGTGTTCCAGGAGTGCAGAACTACACTGAACCAGCAGGACGTCCTGGATATCACAACTACACCTCTGGAGCTCCAGGACTCCAGACCAAGAGTCCACAGGACGGCAGACCCGGTGTTGCAACACCAACCGGAGGACCAGACCTTCATATTATTACACCTACAGCCACAGGTGTGTGTGTGTGTGTGTGTTTTGCATGTTTGCACTCTGTTTTGTTGGTGCATATTAGTCAGAGATTCACAGAATCAACTATAAAGAGTCAGTAAGACATCAATTGTTCTCATCTATCATTAGCAGAAAACTAAATTAGTTCCTATTTTCTTCCTTTCTGAATCATGTTATTGTTTTTTAAGCATTCTGGGATGCATCTACACCATATGATGAGTTACCCAGGGTTGAGTGTGTGGAGGGTCAGTTCAGCTGCCGGACATTCGGCTGTGTGGAAGATGAACTCGTGTGTGACGGGCATGAAGACTGTCCTGACGGATCAGATGAACTTCACTGTGGTAAAAAAAATAAAATAGCTCATCTATTTTGATTATTATATCCATTCAATAATCAATATATTTTTAAATCTTGAATCATCAGTGAATCATCAATTAAACTGACAAATTTTTGATGTTATTTTTCTATCATCAGGGTCAGCGTCTCCTCCTCCAGGACGGGTCTCTCCCTCTCAGCGCCCTCTGCTGCCCAAGCTCTGCTCCTCCAAGCAGTGGAGCTGCTGGAGTGGAGAGTGTGTGAGTTTGGACAGGAGGTGTGATCTACACTCAGACTGTGCTGACGGATCAGACGAGAACGACTGCTGTGAGTAAATAGAGTTTGCATGTTCTCCCCGTGTTGGCATGGGTTTCCTCCGGGTGCTCCGGTTTCCCCCACAGTCCAAACACATGCACTATAGGGGAATTGATTAAACTAAATTGGCCGTAGTGTATATGTGTGTGAATGTGAGGGTGTATGGGTGTTTCCCATTACTGGGTTGCAGCTGGAAGGGCATGCGCTGCGTAAAACATACAGTATGCTGGAATAGTTGGTGATTCATTTCAACTTCAACTGTACTCTATATGTGAGCTGACCTCAGGTGTGTGTGTGTTTGTTTGTGTGTGTGTGTGTGTGTGTGTGTCCTCAGACGACTGTATTCTGTCCTCCTGGGCGTCCTGGAGTCAGTGCAGTGTCTCGTGTGGTTTGGGCTCAATCTTTCGCCAGAAGAACATCCTGAGAGACGCTCGACCCGGAGGATCCTGTGGAGGAGCTCAGTTCGACAGCAGACCCTGTTTCCTGCAGGCCTGTCCTGGTACAAGCACATTTCAGCTGTCATTAAATGAACCTGAATACATTATTAGTGTAAAACGTCCCAAACTGTGATGTGTTCGATGTCCAGCAGTATGATCAGTGTAACACACAGTTTGTAGGTTTACTGTATCCTCTGGTGTATGTGTGTGTGTGTCAGTGTCCGGTCAGTGGTCAGAGTGGACGCAGTGGTCCGGCTGTGACGTCCCGTGTGCTGGAGGCCTGATGGTCAGAAACAGGACCTGCTCCAATCCTCCTCCCAAAAATGGCGGTCGTGACTGTGAAGGGATGAGCAGACAAACACACACCTGTAACACACAGTCCTGCGGCTCCGACACAGACACACAGAGCGGTCAGCATTCACACCGACTACATTCATACAGTGCACTTAATATACAGAATACAACTGAAGTTAGAATTATTAACCCTCTTGAATTATTAGCCCTTCTGTATATATTTTTCCCCATTTTCTGTTTAATAAAGAGAAGATTTTCTTCAACACATTTCTAATCATAATAGTTTAATAACTCATCTCTAATAACTGATTTATTTTATCTTTGACGTGAATACAGAACGAAATTAGACTAGATATTCTTCAAGACACTTGTATTCAGCTTAAAGACACATTTAAAGGCTTAACTAGGGTAATTATGGTAAAGTTAGGGTAATTAGGCAAGTCATTGTATAACAGTGGTTTGTTCTAGAGACAATCCAAAACTAATATTCTTAAGGGGGCTAATAATTTTGACCCTAAAATGGCTTTAAATGAATTAAATCTGCTTTTATTCTAGCAGAAATAAAACAAATAAGACTTACACTAAAACCGGGGTGTCAAACTCAATTCCTGGAGGGCCGAAGCCCTGCACGGTTTAGTTCCAACCCTGCTCCAACACACTTACCTGTAGGTTTCAAACAAGCCTGAAGGACTCAGTTAGTTTGATCAGGTGTGTTTATTAGGATTGGAACTAAACTGTGCAGAGCTGCGGCCCTTTTGGAACTGAGTTTGACACCTGTGTTTTAAAAGAAAAAATATTATCAGACATACTGTGAAAATTTCCTGAATCTGTTCAGCATCATTTGGCAAATATTTGAAAAAGAAATTCACTGGAGGGCGAATCATTCTGACTTCAACTGTGTATAATGATATAGGGTCTGATTGAGGTCTGATTTTCTGCAGGCTGCACTGGAGGAATGATCCTGATGGACGAGTCTGACTGTTTGGCAGGAAAATTCAGCCCGTGTCCCCTGACCTGCTCTGACCTTCATTCAGAGAGAAACTGCACATTAAACTGCACTGCAGGTACATTGTCATCACCATACTGTAAGGCTGTTAAATTGTCAACATTCAGGTTATTAATCGAAAATACAATACATTTATTGCATTATTATTGTATTTCATGTTTGTAGATATAAATAGAAAAAAATTACCAGTGTTTTGAAAATAAATTATTATTTTATTTTATTATTTTTTTGTTAATATTGTTTTATATTTTAAATAATTTCTATAAATTATTCAAATGAAAATAATTATTATCTTTATTTGAATGTTAGTATTAGTACATATTGTTATATTATTAGTAGTATATGTTATGTTGTTATAATTATACAAGTTAATAAATTATATCATTTATTTTAAAACAATATTGACCATTTAATATTTATTTTTTTATTTAATCACATGTAAAATTTTAAGTGTTAAAATTTTAAGTAACTATACAATAGTCTAGTGATATTATTATTATTATTATTATTATTATTATTAATAATAATAATAATAATAATAATAATAATAATAATAATAATAGATATTTGGAATAAATGCACTATTTTTTAAAAAATCACATATTATAGTAATACTAGTAAACTAGACAGAAAATAATGATTATTATCATTATTAATAAACATTAATCAGTTTATTTTTATTTAATCACAAGTAATAAAAACATATCTTATTTTAATATTAATTAATGATTACATTATTCAATAATAATAATAATGATAATAATATTAATAATAATAATAACAATGATATGATTTAAGAAATTAATTAATAATGTATTCTAATTAATTTCACAATAAAAATAATATAATAATTTCAGAATGATAAATAATACAACTTTTTATTTAAATAATATGCAATAGTTTATTTCCATTTAATATTTTATAATAAATGATTAGCATTGCAGTAGAAAAACATAAATCAAAATAATAGCATACAATTTATATGCACTGATCGTGTGTCTCACTGTCTATTTATTAATTTATTTTTATTTTAGGATGTCATTGCCCTCCTGGGCTCTTCCTCCAGTCTGGCCGGTGTGTGAATGTCAGTGAATGTGAATGTTTCTGGAACGGGTCGCTCATTCAGCCGGGTCAGGACGTCAGTAACTCCAGCTGCAGCTCCTGGTCAGTCCATGATTCAGCAATAATACAGTTCCTCTGACTGTGTGTGATGATGTAAAGACACTTAATGATGCTTTATCCAATCATAAACAGTGTGTGTAAAGATGGGCGTGTCCTATGTGATGAGTCCAGCTGTGTCGCTCGATGTGATTGGTCGGCCTGGTCTTCGTGGACATCATGTGACAGCAGCTGCGGGACAGGAGTACAGCACCGCTACAGGTGCACTGAGTTATTTATTGAATAATACTATTCTGTTTTTTTATATTTATTTATTTATTTATTTATTTATTTATTTATTAACTATTTATGCATTTAGATATAGTATGTGATGCTTGTGCACCGCATGCAGTATGATAATATTCACATTCATTAAGTTTTACCTGGTCGTTAGTTTGTAAGAAATTAAATTAATCAATCATTACCATTTATTCAAATTCTTCAAAGTCAGTTTTAGTTACAGTACGTACAGAAGGCAGAGAACCGACAAACTTTAAATGAATTTATTAATAGAAAAATAAAACAAACAGGAAGCAAAAGTAAAACATAAACTGTCCAGGCCTGTTTTTCTCTTCTCTTCCACTGCAGTCTCTCCTCCTTTTATAATCTAGAGCTTCTCCGTGGGACTCGAGGTATATAATATAATATAATATAATATAATATAATATAATATAATATAATATAATATAATATAATATAATATAATATTATAATATAATATAATAATATAATATAATATAATATAATATAATATAATATAATATAATATAATATAATATAATATAATTAATATAATATAATAATATAATATAATAATATAATTAATAATATAATATAATATAATATAATATAATAATATAATTAATAATATAATAATATAATATAATATAATAATATAATTTATAATATAATATAATATAATATAATATAATA